ACAACGACACTTGGGGATAAAAGACCCATCACTTTAATCCTCAGATTTTGAAAACATATTTAAACTTAACCATAAGCAGGTAAACCTGAGAGAGGTAAAATGTAACTACTAACAACTTACCTTTTAAATTCTGAGTGAACAGAAAAAATAAATCTGTACTATTTCAAGTGGTGGGCAGATATCATTAAGACTTCCTGTTTCCAAGGTGAGGGCTTGTCATTTGAATACATTTTATGAATTTCCAAGACTATGAACACTGGCTTAGGTTTCATGTCATTTCTCCACATCCCATCATCCTTGGTCCCCACAATGAATACACAGCTATGACTCTAAACAGAGTAAGGTTCACACAGGCTCAACAATGCTTCTTTCTAATTCAGGATTGTATTTGTATTCATCTGTACTTATCTAAATCCTACCCATTCAGATGTCTATATGAATGCATGAGAGACAACTATTTATCTTTTCATCTTTATCAGTCGGGCAAGTTCTGGATAATTCAGTCTGTAAGGAGCCAAGAAATTAAACAGGATACACTTTTTTCTCAGCCCAGCCGGTGTTTCCTGCACCAGTGAGACAGGCTGAATCCAGACCAAGTGACCAGAGCGCCCCACCTCTGCTGATGGAAGTTGGTGCTGGGATGGAGGCCCATAGAAGAAGCATAAGTGAAAGTTTGGGGGAGGAAAAGAAGGGAACAACCCAGGTCAGAAACGGGGGATAGATGAGGGAAGAGGGGAGAGAACAGACCTACCTAATTTGGTGAAAAAAGCTGTCTCTGATTTTAGGTAGAACTCACTTAATCAAGCTTCCTGAGTCCCGACCTACTAGCTCAGAAGGACCAAAAATAGAAATATAAAAATCAAGCTTTTCTGTTCAAATAAATATACAAAATTCCAAGATAATTTAAAGAGAGATTACTAGATAAGTATCACATGATCTCACTCATTTGTGAAATATAATGAACATAAATTGATGAGCAAAAATAGATCCAGAGACAGAAGCATTTAACAGACCGTCCAACCTCAGAGGGAAGGCAGGGGAAGGTGGGAGGGGAGAATAAGAGATCAACCAAAGGACTTGCATGCATGCATATAAGCATCCTATCTAATAATAGACAAACATGGTAATTGACCGTATCTTTGCTACACCTCCCATTGGCTAATCAGCACGATATGCAAATTAACCACCAACAAAGATGGCGGCTAATTTGCATACTGCAGGCAGGGTGGGACAGTGCAGCCGCCAGCACAAGCTGCCAGCCCGGGCCGCAGGCCGGCCCCAGAAGCCGATGATCGGAGGGAGATGGGGGTCTCCTGCCCAGGCCTGACACCTCTGGTGGAGGCGTCAGGCCTGGGCAAGGGGCCGATCCAGCGATCGGAGGGTGATGGAGGTCGATGCCTCTGGCCGAGGC